GTCCAGTCAGTGTCTGTGTCTGCCCTGGTCCCACGTCTCTGTTCCCTCTGTTGTAGTGCCTGCATGTGAGTCTGTCTTTGTTCAGTCTGTGTTATGTGTTTCCTGTTTTACTTTGAAGGTCTCTGTCTTATCTCAGTGTGTTCGGTTTACGCTTCCTGGTCTCGGTTTACGCTTCCTGGTCTCGTCAGTTCTGATTTGCCCCAGCTGTGTTTCCCTCCAGTTGTCCATTCCCTGATTGCTCCCTCTATGTATTTAAGCCCTGTGTTTCAGGTTGTCATTGTTGCAATCTACTGTTTATCTAGCTGTGTGTTCTGTCAGTCTTCCGGTGTAAGTTTATTTTGATATTTCCAGTTATGTTAAATTTGAGTTTAACATTAAAGCTGTTTTGAGTTCAAGTTTTGCCTCCGAGTGTCTGCACCTTGGGTCCTATTCCTGTCTGCACGCAGCCGTTCCATAACATTGATTCATTAATGTTGGATTCTCTCGCAGCTGTTCTGTTCCCATGTTGTTGCTGTATATTAATAACTAACCTCGTATTGTGGATGAATGATCTCAGTTGTTCTCCTGACTGAAGTTTGGCCCGTGTATAGCATCCTGCTATGCGATTGCATTTGTCCCTGACCACCAGAATCCCTCACGTTAACTTTTATCGAGTGGAAAAAAAAGTTGGCGTTCATCCTCCTGCTTCACTGTGCTAATGTTATGCTAACATAGCTGTGTCGCTAGCAATCACGTAGCACAACATTATATACCAGCTAGCCAAACTTCAGTAACCCTACAAACGTCACTGCTGTTTAGTTTTCTGTCTTCATTTATGTTGGAAGTGGTAGCAGAGCTGTACATTTGAAATAGCTTCAAAAATCTCTGTCAGAACATGGTATGTCATGTTTAGGTGGAAACTAGCGAGCTAACTTCCTGTTAACTTCTAACTCCGTTAAATTTAATAAATCTGTTTTCATGGATGTTAAACTTAATTGTTACACCTGGTAAAGCAGAAACGCTGATGATTTAATTAAAGATGAAAGAATTTAGACGTTTTTAACTCTCAGTGTTCGTTTGACTTTGGGACCTGAAGCGGAGTTTAGGACCCAGATTCCTCCGTGAAGCTCCTCACTACGGCAGCCGTAATGCTCTGACAATCCATCAAGCAGTGCGGCTTACCAAAGTTGTACTAAAACATTTTTAACAGATTTCTGCAGCCAAAATCGGTTCGAGGTCAGTAAGAACAACCAGAATTCATACATAAGGTACACTCTAGATTTTTGAGAAAATTAAAGGATTTTAAGTGCGCCTTATAGTGTGGAAAAATACGTTATACAGAAGAAAAGAATATATCGTGATATATATCGTTACCGCACATGCTTCAAATTATATCGCGATATGGATTTTAGGCCATATCGCCCAGCCCTAGTCCCCATGCACTTACCTAACATCCACCCACTCGCTCTCCAACAATGCCACACAAGGGTATGTGCGAGCCAGGGTCCACCATAGCCTGTCCTCCAACAGCTGGTGCTGGTGCACTGCTGCCTGCTCCATGCACATGACGGACTGGGTACAAGAATGCCTGGGTTTCAGCATCACTTGTAAAGTGAGGACCCTGTATCCACAGCGTTGGAGATCATTGGAGGCTTTATTTCCAATCATGCTTTTCTAATTACAGTGCTGTCGGGATGCTTCAGCTTCTTCCCTCAACCTGAGCTGCCGGCTCATGTGTTCTGGTCAGCCTCCTTCACTCCACACCCTTAACCCACTACTCCACTTCAGCTATGAACATAACCAACAATTGAAATTCTAAATACTGAGTCGCCACTTTACCTCTTGCTTTTACCTCCTTACGCAGATGCAGGGTATATCCTGGACAGGTCCACCACAGCAGATGCACAAAAAGACAGACAGCTGCACACTCTCAAATCCACACCTGTGGAAAATTTAGTATAAACAGTCCCTAGCATTTATGTCTTTGGGCTGTGGGATAAAACTGGAGTTTCTGGACAGAATCCATGCAAGCCCACAGATGAACTGTTAGCTAAAATCAATGGACAGCTATTATACTTGGAAAGCTTAAAGTAGGGGAAGAATTGCAGAATAAGGCTACAACAGTTACAGGCTAACTGCCAGCATAGTTAAAACCCATGCATAATATTACGAAAGCTGGAAGTGCAGGGTTAATAGTTAAAGTGTAAATGATTTGTGAGCTGGGATGGTTGGCCTTGGTAGATGCACCCAACCTTTTCCATGAATTTGATTAAAAATGCCATGGATAGAACAACGTGTCTAAATAAAGCAGTGAGAGCTCAGGGTGAAAAGTAATTTTGTTCCCCTATGAATCAAAATGTAAGTAAATGTTTCCGCCTATGCGCATTCACTCAGTTTGTACTACGGCTTAATGTTAATTGATGCAGAGAGACGTTAATCATCTGTTATGCAGCATACTGGAAATGACATCTCTTCAAAGTAAATGCCTTCAGAGACTCATCACATCAGAATTAATTGAGGTTGTTGAGTAAAACTAAAGCCCCTTTCACTCATGGACTTTATGCCATCTGGAATCATTTCCAGTGCTGGAAATGCAGAAGAGGACAAGAAACAGGTCATCTTCATAAGTGTTTGTGATAAATCCTGTTGGGTAGAACTTTTAGAAACCAGAGAGGTGCTGCATGAAAAAAAGCATTACTCCGCCGAGAAATTCTGATGACTTTACTGCCACAAACTTGTTACAAACTATAGCTGCATTGGCACTGATCCAGTGTTGTAGTTGACACATTGGTGCAGGTATGCATGTCATGGGCCATTGATGCAGAGGACTCTGTCTTCATATGTTTTAGTTTATATTTGCTCGGTGTCATTTTAGTTCCTACGTTTGCTGTTTATGAATGTTATACCATAAATGTGCTGTTATGCAACTAAAGAAGTTTTTGTATGAAGTCACTTTATTCACGCAACCAAGGAGAAGTGATGGGCTATAATATGTGATCTCTCTTCACACAGTGGGACTGAACTGAAAAGGAACTGACTTTAGCAGCTTGCCTGCCTCTGCAGCTATACTTAGTGTTACCATAGCAACACCTCCCATCTGTCACCAGCACATGCTTTTAACGACAGACCATAATAATATGCAAACCCACTCACAGCCAACGCAGTGCCACCATGGTAATGAGAGGATGGCTTGAGTTTATCTCATTAAACATATGAGGCCATGTGCAGTACTGTACCTTGATGTACTCATGAGTATGTGGACGGTTATATATTCAAATATATTCAGTAATTGTTGAGTAATTGTATATTTGCATATGCCTTATTATAGTGTAAGTTTAACAGTGTAGCTCAGTGTGTGTTGAATTAACCAAGTGTTTCTACTTTAATCTTAGCTCTGTGTTTGGTCTCCACCTACTCGTGTGCATACCTGTGCAGCTGCTAAAGATTTACCAGTTTTAACTTCTAATTTACTAAACCATGTAGGGTGATAAATTCAAACAGGCGATAAGATGCTTTAGCCTACCCACAGTTGTTACCCATCTGCAAACCACTTTGCAGACCACCTCCATCCAAGGTTCTCATGATGTTTCTGATCTATAATCTCTGATTAGCACTGATCCTTCATGTATTATGTAACAGACCTGTAACACCAAATACAGGTTACTGTAGAAGCAGACTTTAACTAGAGTGATTGTCAAATTCTAAATTGGAGATAAAGTATCAGAATTTCAGGAGCAGGACCACACCTCCAAATATGCTCCTTCCAGTTCTCATCTATGTATGTTCCCCCAGTTCTACAAGCTGTTCATTCTCATTTACGTGTCCCACCCTCCCTGCCTTGTTAAATTCTTTAGCTTCTTCAATTCTATTTAGTACATGGGGACCTGCCAGGCCCGGTCAGGGTCTTCCCCAAACCGCAGCTCAGTTCTTGTCCAAGCCATTCACCTTTACCTACTAAAACGCTATCAAACCTCAAATGAGGACGTGGGCCCAGTGAGGGGAAACACATATTTGAGATACCAAGTTAAAACTGTGACTTTTCTCATAGAGAGTTATTCCCTGCTGTGTTTTCAGTGTTATTAACTGAGTAACTGTGATGTAGATTAAACCATTGCTAAGCTGACACGAAATTAAATGAAATTTATAATGTTAACAGCCTCCAATCAGAAGCAGCCTGTCCACCTCCAGTAACCCCTGCCCTTGCTTAAGTATTTCCTGTATATGCATTAGTAAGAAGAGCTGTTTTTCACTATCAGAACTGGTTAAAATGGCCTGTATTTATATAGCGCTTTACTAGTCCCTAAGGACCCCAAAGCGCTTTACATATCCAGTCATCCACCCATTCACACACACATTCACACACTGGTGATGGCAGCTACATGTAGTTACAGTGTAGCTCAGTGTGTGTTGAATTAACCAAGTGTTTCTACTTTAATCTTAGCTCTGTGTTTGGTCTCCACCTACTCGTGTGCATACCTGTGCAGCTGCTAAAGATTTACCAGTTTTAACTTCTATGCCACCCTGGGGCGCACTGACAGAGGCGAGGCTGCCGGACACTGGCGCCACCGGGCCCTCTGACCAGTTAGTGCACCAGGTATGCTTTCTTTTCCTTTAGAACCTCGTACTGCTAAGCACAGCAGTGACAGGAGCACTTTCATCCATGATTCACACCAACGTCTGCTTTGTGAGATTCTGCAGGAAAGCAGTCCTGTAGTTCAGGGTTGAGTTCAGATAGCCCTCTTTGACTCTGTCATCCTCCTCTGGGTGTCACTGTGTGACATCCATGTGTATCCATCTACCTATTAGCCTGAACTCTCGCAGGCTTCCTTTATGCACGTTGGTCACTGCTGCTCATTGGAAAGAATGCAAACCCATAAGCCGTCATTGTTATCATAATTATGAGATTTTAGTAGATTGGACTTTTGAATTGACTTCATGTTTTTAATCCAAGTATTATTATTTTTTATTTCCGCTCCATTATAACCACAAAATGAATTACAACTACACGTATGTTTCCTCAGAGAGCTACGACTGGGCTAAGGAGGACAACACCTGAGCTAACAGACGCTAACCACGACAACACTAGCTCCAGCCGCAATAACCCCGTCTGCCCTCCCTCTCCCCCACCGCTAGTCAGTGCAGTTACCATGGAGATGAGCTCATCAGCACCGCTAAGAGACATAGAAAGAGAGAGCCTTTTTAGCTGCCACAACCAGGAAGAGGACCAACTGTGTCTTCCTGGGGTCCGTAGGGTGGAAGACGAGGCTGTAGGAGGAGAAAATAGGAAAGGAGATGAGTGTGACTATCTCATTTTTGAGATGGGAGATGAGAAAGGAAGAGACCTCAGTGAAAGTGAAGGAGGAGAGGATGAAGGGAGAGGGGAAATAGAGGGAGAAGATGGAAACGAAAGAGAAACAGAGAGTGATAGCTGGGGAAGAAGAGAGACAGAGGGAGACGATGAAAGCAGAGAGAATACAGAGGGTGGGGAGGTGGGGGGTGGAGAAGAGGGAGAAGATCCAGGAACAAAAGAAGAGGATAGCTGGATCAGAGGAATAGAGGAAGAGGCAAAAGAAGATGTCCTTTCAGATCTCCTCTTCCCCTCAGACAGTCTGCTGTGTCCTTCACCATCTGAGCCACTAGGCGCCACCTCACATCCTCTGGAGGCTGTGTCACAAGAAGTTTGGGGTCCCGACTTCACAATCAGGGATGACCTCAGTGACAGCCACCTCAGTGACTGCCTCCAAGCAGAGCGTGTCATCGTGTACTCAGACAGCGATGCAGGTGAGGACCAGTGGTCAGCTTTTGCCCCCTCTGACATCACCAGCCAGATCGAAGAGGAGAGGAAGAAAGATGCAAGATTTGAAGAAGAGGAGAAGGCCAAAAGAGAGGAAGAAGACAATGAAGTCAAAGCAGATGCAAAAAATCAAGCGCAGAAGAGAGAGGTGGAGGAGTACAGGGTGGGAAGAAAGGATGATGATGAAGACCAGATGAGGTTGAGGAGAGATCTTTTCCTACGGTCTCCTTCAGTCAGCTCCACAGCAAGCTCCACAGACCCTGACAAGAAGGTGAGTTTGCTGTTTATATGTAGCCTGATGCAGAGACACGGCGGTGTTTTCTTTGTGCTTTTAACTTGGTTCAACACTTTTCACCAGACATTTAACAGAGATGAATTATGACAACAAAAAATGTTTGCCAAAATGCAATAAGCTCCCCTTAAGCTATCTCTAAAAAGAAAAGCCTAAACTTAAACCAGAGCAGGTACAGTATAGGCACACATGAGCTTTATAAACTCTGGTCTTAACAGGGTGCCTGTCAGTTAGCCAACAGTAGATGGAGCTGTGTCTCTGTCACTCATCTGTTACAGTTTCTGACACTTTTCATCTGTACCACCCAAAACTGCACTGTCAGTGTCTGATAGAGGGAGCTGCAACATGTGCAATGACTGTAAGAGCCTTGAACCCATCACCCAGCATTAGCACTCGTAGTTTGTATCAGAATTCTAGGACATTAATTCAAGCATCAACTAAAGCGAACTCTGCAGTTATAACACAGACAAATCTCAGAAGTATTCATTGCTGCATTATAACAAACATGTCCATTTTAACAAGAAAAGGGAATAAAGATCATCGCTGCCACCTTGTGTCCAAACTGTGCAACCACAGCTGAAAGTGATAGCATAGCCCACTCAAAGGTGACATGAAAAGGCTAATTTACACTGTGGATCCCTGCTCTCACATACTGTCATAGGTTTAACACTGACTGTGAAGCTGGATTTAAAAATACGTGTTTGAAGTTTTTAGAACAAGTTTAGCGCCGTCTTGTACCAATACAGAACGTGATGTCACTGAGTTGGTTGGTTGCTGCTTTCTGTTAGCTAACTAGTAACAGAACCATTAACTCATTAAAACTAAAACTCGGTCTATATCTATATCAGTTTTATACGAAACCAAGGACATGCTGTCCATTTCTCTCTGTCCTGTAGGGTTTTTATGAGAGAGAAGACAAATATGTTGTAAGTTTTCACAGTTTATTATGAAAACGGTTAAAATTTCAATGGACCTCAGTCTCTCTGGCTCAGAGACAAAAGGCTGTGTGTCTTTCTGCTCGCTCAGGAGACCCAAATGAACAAAGAGCCCCACACTCAGACACTAATGCTTTTATTATGTGTGGTAAACAGGGCTCTAAGGTGATTGGTCAAAAATTGGAGGAAAGCCACAGTTCTATTTATCGGGCTGAGATCCAGCACTTTGACTCACATTTTTTCTTCTGCATCTTTCTGGGCATTTCCTTATTTGGAGATGCCACTTCACCCATCACCATGGCAACTACCTCTTGTCCTCCATCAGGTCTGATGTATGGCCTTGTTGTCTTGTAGGTACTACAACCTCGTCCACACTCTTAATAATAAAGTGTGCGTGTTAGTCCCCATAGGGAAATAGTTCCTCTGCATTTAACCCATTCACCCAGTGAAGCAGTGGGCAGCCACCAATGCAGCGCCCGGGGAGCAGTGTGTAGGGACGGTACCTTGCTCAGGGGTACCTCAGGGTAGCCGTTCAGTGGAGTCGAACCCCTGACTTTCCGATCATGGGGCCACCACTCTACCTACTAAGCTATCCCTGCCCTTGTGACGGGGTCTCAGTCTGTCGCTATCAGAATGAATCCAAAACTGTTCTGCAATACACTGTGAGCAGTATTAGACAAAACACAGATATGTGATGCTAATTATGAGACATTAGCCTTACAGATAGAAAGAAATCCCAACAGTCCTTTAAACAGTAAGTGTTTTTTTGTTGTTTAACTAACTGCACTGAAACTGGAAACTCCATCTGTTAACCTTAATGTTTGAGTGTATAAAGCACTGTATGAATGAAAACAGTCTGGAGGAGAGCCTGAGTCATGTGACAGATGGTTCACCTGACCAACACCTGACTGATATGCCCAGCCTGGCTGTCGGACTCTAGCTGAGTCAAAGAGTCACTGGCTGTTTGCTAACCCCACATTTAATCTCTCCCGTCAGGTCCCTGTAGATTTCTGCGTGCATGAAGAGACCCAAAGTGAAAATGTCTCTACTGAGCATGTGGACTTTCTTTTGGCCCGTCAGCAGTGGAAGAAGATGGAAGAAGAGGTCAAAGGTCAGCCTATCCCAAAACCGGGACTGAGAGCTCAGGGGAGCTTCCAGGGCACCCACTCCTCACTGTATCCCCCCACTCGCAGTCCCCGGCTCAAACACAGGTAAATCTTCACCCTGGAGTCTTAGTCATCCTCACCGTAAATATTTTCTACTACAGCCTTCGTTGAGGTTTCAAGGACTCAACCTAAAAATGCGTCACACAATTTATAGTGCTAACAGACGCTGTAGAGTGACAGTGGAATAGTTTTCAGGGCTCATGCCCAGCAGTAAAACAAAGAACAATGCACCACATTAACAAGATGAGTCCTTCAGCCAACATAGTACACTTAGCAAGTAGCTAGAACGCTGTAGGTTTCACATCCTTCTCAACTTGAGTGTGGTTTCCTCCTGTCCTATACAAGGGAAATTCAAATCCCCATGCCCAGGGAACCTCCTCTGTCCTCCACCCTGTCCCCTAGCTCAGAGGACTCAGGTCTGGATGATTCGTCATACCGCAGCACCCTGGAGGAGCCTGAGACTGCAGTGGAGAGAGAGATCCGATTGACTCTAGAGAGAGAGGAACGACACCGCAGGGAGAGGGGGATGATTGCACATGGCCTCCCAATACCCAGGTACAGCAGCCAAAAAGTCCTAGTCTACCACTACACACCAGCAGTAATTGGCTCTGCTGTATTGTGCAATCATGAAAACTCACATAGCAACAGAATGCAGTCCTTATGATCTCAAAGGCACTTAAATGCACCTAGACAGAATTTTCATTCATTTGAAAGCCTTGCCTCTCAACTGTCACAAGCTCTGGTAGTAACCAAAAGAATGACATTATGGATACAAGCGGCAGAAGTGAGCTTTCTTCGAAGGACTGCTGGCCTCTCCCTTAAAAATAAGGTGAGGAGCTCAGATCGAGTGGTGCAGAGTAGAGCCGCTACTCCTCCGCATTGAAAGCAGCCTATTGAGGTGGATGCCTCACTGGAGAGGTGTTTCAGACATGTCCTATAAGGAGCAGGCCCCAGGGCGGACCCAGGACATGCTGGACAGATTACAACTCTTATATGTTGTGGGAATGTCTCGATGTTCCTACGGATAAGCTGGAGGAGGTGGCTGAGGTGTAGAGGGAAGTCTGGGCAGCCTTGATGATGGATGGATGGATGAATAAATGATGGCTAGATAAATGGACAGACGGATGGATAGATATAAGGAAAGATGGATGGATGGATGGATGCATGGATGCATGGTTAGATAAATGGATGGATGGGTGAATGGATGGATGGCTACATGGATGGATAAAGTTACGTTGAAACCAAGCACACCATTGTTGTTCTTGTGACATTACCAATAAGTTTGATGTGTCACATGGCCCTCTTCCTATTGAAAAAAGTTGTATCCAAGATGGCCGACTTGTAAATGGCCACCATGATCACCACCCATCTTGAGGAGTTTGCCCCCTCACATATACTAATGTGCCACAAACAGGACTTTAATATCACCAACCATTCCCATGTTATTACGGTGTATCCATATAAATGGCCCACCCTGTAGATAGAATTGAAGATTAACTATAAGGAGTAGGAACTGTTTTTTTTCTGATTGCAGGGTATTCAAGTTTGGGGAATACCCTGTTAGAACTAGATTTTTCAAGTGATTTTGATGGACCTGAGTGTGAAATAAGGATACTGCCCTTTTGTATGTGCTTGTCAGTCATAAAGTGTCCACATTTTTGTCTATTTTACTTTATTGGAGGCCACCATTTACAATATCTATATAATATTAATTTTATTCAATGAGAAACTGAAACGATAAACTCATCATGAAAGTGTTTACTGAGGCCATGGGTCAAGCATGCTGACTCTTGAGTTACTGTACCTCCTGCTGGCCAGGTTAGCAGCACTTTCACATCGATGTTCATTTTTACGCAGACCCCTAATAAAAGTTGACATTAAAGTTGCCATGGTGTCTGTGATAGCAAGCATTTGTCTATTTATTTCTCTTCGTTAAGCTCTGGTTTGGCTTCCATCAAATGTAACTGTTAGTGTCCCAGTGAAGGTTGTACATGTTTGTTTATTGCTGGGCAGGTAATCATTTGATTAAGCTTTTAAGAAGTGAAATCTAATTAAAATTGCTGTCTGTACCCATCACCCTACAACCAAAATAAACCCAACCTATTGAGTTAAAAGAAGTGCATAGAAGAGTGATAGTTCTACTGTAGAAACACATTTTAGACAGAATAATTCAGAAAGGATTCTGAATATTTGTCAAAATGACCCAAAACCCCTCCATTCAAAACACTTAACATTCACATTGTTCTTTTCTGTATGCAGGCCATCCAGCTTGCAGACAGGACGATCTCCACCCAGACCTCCAGCCTGCCGCACCCCGACACTCTCCATCTCCCCAACTCCTTCCTGTTCCTCGTCCCTTCCCCGATCTGTCTACCATGAAATGACGGCTAACAATGTCATCATCCTGGAGCCTGATTCCTCTAGCCCTGCCTCCAGGAATCGTCTGCTCTCTTCTGCAATCGGCGGCCTTTCCGATTGGCCAGCAAATTCAGATGCAGTGCCTTCCGCTAATGTCATTGTTGTAGAAACCTCCAATCTGATCATTCGCAGTGCGTCTGAGTTCTGCCTAAGCTCCACCCAACTGTCCGTGGAACCGCAGGAGAGCACCTTCACGTCAAATCCTTTTTTCAAGCTGCGCTCACTCAGCAGCCAGTCACTGGTGGAGCAAGAGATCAGGATGGTGAGGCAGAGGGAGGAGGAGTGGAAAAGGCAGAGGGAGGAGATGTGGAGGAGGAAAAGAGAGGAGGAGTGGAAGAGAGGGAGAGAGCGGTACGATACTGTTTTGGTGTCTCCGGGTCTGAGTGATAATGTTACGTACAACGGTATGTATCATCCACACAACTAAAACACTAATGATGTAGGAAGCACACAACCTAACATACTAGAAACCTTTTATTTTATTGTAGATTTATTCAAATGAGTCAGTGTTTGAATGTGTTTGAATGTAAGACCGTGTTCTTAGGCATAGATAGGTAAAAGAGTCCACATTTAAGTTTCTAACAAATTTCTCTTTCTCTTTCTGAGTGCGAGATCTCGCAAAAGTCCGTCTTAATTTTTTTTTCTCCCATGTCCCCTGTGGGGCTCCGTATGTTCATGATGTTAGCCAACACTAACAGTTTTCACTGCTGAGTGAAAACAACAATTGCTAAGTCAAACAGGTCAACAGCACAGTGTTAATCTGTTACCAATATGACACATAAATCAGCCTTTGATGTATGCTTCACCACTAAAGGCTTTAATGAGGACTCCCTTTTTTATGATTGGTGACATCTTGGGAAAATTTCCCAACAAGCATCTATAAGTGTTTCCGGATCTGAAAAGAAATGTTAGAAAAATGTCTTATAGACTGTGTAGTTCTCAATTAGGCCCTAATTCATATATGCTGATGATGCTGTGGGAACTTCCTCTGTTTTGATACCAGTGTCAGTGGTTCCAGACAGAAGCGTCTCCTCCCCGTCATCCCCCTCCAGGACCCGCAAAATAGAGCGATCCAGTTTGTCTTGTGACCACAAGGTTGGCAGACTCACACACACATTCATATGCATGCACTCTACAGCTGTTGTAGAAGACAAAGTTGTGTCAGCACCAAAGTCTGGAAATCATTATGCACACCTCTAATACAAATGAGCATGTTTCGTCTTATTCAGTTGAATGAAACCACTTGACGTTCATATATAGTTCATATATAGTTCATATATAGTTCATATATAGTACCCCAGCACTGACAGTATCTTATGTTTCAAGTCATACAAACAGCTTATGACCCTGGATATCATTGCTCCTCTGAAAAGAAGAGATGACTGTCTCTGATATAATGCATAAAAAATTTTAAGCATACAGCTTCTAAGGCTTTGCACTCATTTACAGGATCCTTATTTGACCTGTAAAAACTTTTTTAAAAATACGTTTGGGAAGTTAGGACATTTTCCTGTTCGTCACTAATAGGGCTGCCACAAATGATTATTTTGATAGTCGGCTGGTCACAGATTATTTTTGCGATTAGTCGACTAATCAGATCATCATCCATTGGACGTGAAACGTACAGCATATTGCACCAGCATGAATCTGCTCTCATATAACTATCATTAGCTTACAGCTTGAAGTGTTTCAGGTGTGTGCTAACTAAAAATAGATAGATAGATTGTCTCGATGGAGTTTAATAAACTCAGCCGTCTGCTCCTTGCTATCTAAAATATAACAGGACACTGGAGGAGTAAGCTCTCGACCATCTCACACTTCTGTTTAATCAGTCTTCTGACGTTTGTGAAAATTATAGCAAATAAAACTGAAAAAAGCCAAACAATAAAATGTTTAAGTTATCTAAGTGACTTACATCATGTTTAACCTGAGTAGCGAAAGATCGTGTGGGTTTGAAAGCAATGTGCCGGGAGTTTGCTGTTCTCGTCGGCTCTAGTGAGCCTTGAACTCCCGGTCAGCTATCGAGCTGGTGGGTAACAGACGTCTCCGAAAACGTCACTTTTACAAATATGTGATGTCTTGATAAACCGAACAGATATTTGAAGTTTACACAGCTACATTCTCGCCTGAAAATATGTTAAAAGTTTATTTTGTGACCCAGACAGAGTAATAAGAGTAATATTAAAACTAAGTATGCTGCCATTGTTGGAAATGCTATGAATTCTGGGATAGGTTGGGCCACGAAGGATACTCCTTCAAATCGGAGGAAATGAAGGACGCATTTGTCGGCCGCATTTGGAGAAGTCTACGAATTTGGACAGCCTTCGTCGTGTTGCTGTCACGTATTTGGCCTACAAATGCGGCCTCAGGAGGATGCAGCCTCTGAATTTGGACACAGCTACGATACCGGAGTTGCTTCTTCTTCTTCGGTGTTTAACGGCAGCTGGCATCCTTGTACATGCAGTGCTGCCATCTTCTGTTTCAGTCCGTTATTACACACTTAAATCGTACTACTTATTCCTGCGTCTTTCAGGATCTTGCAAAGCTTCAAACGACGCGCTGACTATTAAATTAGTGGCAGCCCTAGTCACTAATAACAAGAACAACCCTGAGTTTGTTTTTAGCACCGGAGCCAGGCTGACAGAGAGTCAGAGCTAAATTGAGGTTTTCTTTTAACTTTAACGAGAAATTCTTCAGAAATAAAATTTTAACCATCAGAGAAAAAATAATTCATAGCTGCCCCATATGAAGTGCATTAAATGCAGGAACTTTAATAACTGCTTACTTTACCTAGGCTCTTCCTCTCTTATCATCTTTCTAAGTTGACTAAACCATGAATGCGCCTCAAACAATTTTCACTATTATTTAATGCTTAAATATGATTATTCTATCTTCATCAGCAGATTATGTACCACAGGCTTCTAAGGTGGCCACAAACAAATGATTTCTAAACTTTCTTTTATTTTAAAATACAGTTGCTGTCAAACAGTTAAATGGTCATTTCCAAAGTAATGGTTTATAGAGTGCATGATAGCAGAGAATGTAATGATGCTGTTTAAACTGTCACTCTGACTTTCGTTTGTACATCACCCATTGTATATGTCATGCACATTGTTTCACTCATTTTTTACCCTACCTTTCTGACTCATCAATCAGTTGGATTGATCGCACCTTTCATTCACCAGTTCACAATTTAGCAAATATATTCATTATTTACCTCATTTCATCGAACCATTACACCTACATCACTTTATCCAGCATTTCTGTTACATCTTCTCTTCATTTTTCTTTCTCTCTAATGTCCATCCATCCATCATCCATCCATCATCCATCCATCCATCCTCCATCCATCATCCATCCATCCATCCATCCTCCATCCATCATCCATCCATCATCCATCCATCCATCCATCAATCCATCATCCATCATCCATCATCCATCCATCCATCCATCCTCCATCCATCATCCATCATCCATCCATCCATCCATCCTCCATCCATCATCCATCATCCATCCATCCATCATCCATCCATCCATCATTCATCCATCATCCATCCATCCATCCATCATCCATCCATCCATTCATCCATCATTCATCCATCCATCCATCCATCATCCATCCATCCATCATTCATCCATCATTCATCCATCATTCATCCATCCATCCATCCATCCATCATTCATCCATCATTCATCCATCCATCCATCCATCCATCATTCATCCATCATTCATCCATCCATCCATCCATCCATCCTCCATCATCCATCCATCCATCTTTGCTCCAGTGGTTCAGCTGAGTCTTCCCCTCCCTCCAGTTCCCTCCTTCCCTCTCTTCAGTGCCTCGACAGCAAAATGCCATGGCACAACGATGGGAGGCCTCCCTACTAGCCAATCAGAAGAAGTAAGCAACAGTACTGCTCAGCTGTCAGACATTGTAAAAGCCAAAATCAAGTCCCCTGCCTGTTTCTTCCTTAGTTTTGCTCTCAGTCAGTCCCTTGTATCGGCAGCCAATGTGTTTTACAACATTTGTCAGAGCTATGGGTTATAGCTCAAATGTGGGTTTTTCACCTGGACACCACAGAAGAAGAGAACTGTTTCTCAGTTTCAATGATTTCAGTAATTTACCTGAGCTGGTTTTCTCACAATGTCTCAGTGGCTTTAAAAGTCAGACTATCTAAAAGAGTCCGACACATTGGACCTGCCTGTAACGTCACTTTTTCCTTTATATAATAATTCCTGTGGACAGATTACCTAAAGCTGTATAACAAACATAAGTATATATAAGTCTTAATCTGCAGTCATGCTAATCCCACTGGTTTTAACATGTGATATTTAATGTGAATTTTCACATTTTAACATTTGTGATTTTCTCCTCGATATATGATATTTACAGCACTTTGATAACTAGATATGGCTGAGCTAGATAAGGCACTAGTAGAACTATTTATTGACATCTGTTTTATGTGAATGACTGACTCGAATGCAGTGATTTTCAATTTTACTTCTTGGCAGTCACATGCTCGATTTTAATGACTTTATATGTGAAAATATTGTAGCTATGCATTGCAGAGATGCAGACAAGATGTTGCATGTTGTTTTCTTCACAATAACAGTTCATGTATTTTAAAGGTGCCACGCCAAACTTTGAAAATCACTGCCTTAATGAAGTGTTACAATGAGCCATTGATCCAAACAGTTTGGATGTCCCAGGTTTCCTAAAGAGCTACTTTTGCTTCTTTGATGAAGGTCAGCTGTTAGCACAGGTTCTGATCAGTGTGTTAAATATACACTCTACCTTCCTTTAGGCCCTTATTGGCACACGTGTCAATTTTGAGGAAAGCTGTTAGTGTTTTAAACAGTTTAAGTAGCTTCTGTTAAGTGGCTGCATGATCTCGATGAGAGCAGCTCATAAAGGGAAACTTGCCCTTGCATGATGGATCCTCCCCCTTTAGTTTTAAACATTAATAGTTTGCCTTTGGCATCCACACTGTATTGTTTTCATCCTCTCAGTAGTTGGCCTACAGCCTTTTTACTTTAGGAACCAAAAGAAAATGTGTAATTTCTGCTCTGCAACCTGTGTTGTTGTGTGTGCCACAGGCTTTTTTCCATCATGAGCCTAGCTATCCCCCGAGAGTCCAAGGTATAAGGACGGAGTCTACTCTTATCTAGACTGTAGATAAGTTAATTAGTTTAGGTTAACTTCACACCATCATACAAAAAATGGACATCATAGAGCCTGTGTTTCATCCTGAAGTAAAACAAATAAGGAACAAAGATGTATCTCAGGAAAAGGATTACTGTGCAATGGAACTGAAGAGAAGTGAAAAAGTTAAAAGAGGACAACAGTTATTCGAATATGTTGCCAGATAGCTTGTAGCTAATGCCTCACCAACAACTTCCATCTATAAAATGGATGAAAGATCTCAAGCTGAAACAAACGTTTGCACGGCCGTGTCCCCGTGCTGTTTGAGCTTTATAATCATCCCCAGACAAACACGCTTCTCTTGGAGTGATACAACCTGGCCAAACCCTGTATGGCTCCAGTTATGGAGGCGAGGGCTCGTCACAGCTCTGACCACAAGATCTAGTCAATATTTTTACAGATTTTTATCGCCTGTCTTGATTCTTACAAAGAGAGATTTATCGTATTGTATTTTTGCTGCATATATTTATGAACTGAGCAGTGCTTATAAATTCTTAAAACTTTTATTTGTAAAAGGTTTATAACATATTGTGATGGTAAGATTATTGAAAACTTTCCATGTTTTTTAGAAGCTGATATTTCCGTGTGGTGTGTGCATATGTGCACGAGTGCATACCAATCCATCCTCCTTACACATGGGACTTACACATGAGTGGCTCTGGCTTCTGCAGTATGACTCCAGAGTACGTCCACTAGTTTGGATAAAAGGTGCGTTCAAGTCAGCTCAGGATGCAGGATTTCTCTGTCACGGGGAACAACACCAGACAGGAATGCAGCAGATTGTTTGGGATCACTTTATTTTAGCTGTGCTACACTGCAGTGTGTTACTGAATAAACTATATTACAGTATCTCAAACTACCTAGCTAAACCTGCGAGTCACTGTGCAACCTGAAGCTAGATCCACAGCTCAGTAGATTATAGTAGTTTGGCTTACCTTTTCTTTACCTTCTGCCCTACCTTCCTAATATTTTAATCCTACATTTACAACTTTTTATGACAATGTTAAAGTAATACTACTTTTCAAGTGCTGAAGGTGTTGTTAGATACTATAATTAGCTTTGTATCCACAGTTGTTATAGTTTCAACTTGAAATTGAAGGCGAAGCTTTAAGTACCTTAAATAGAAAGATTGCTAATAGAAGGCTGCAAAAAAACTTTCCCACTGAGTATTTTTCACCAGCCACTCTGATCAGTATGCTAGTGGTAATTTTTTAAATAAGACAGAGGTCCATTTTTAGGTGCTTGATTGACATGCTCCGTCTTGTGTGATTAACACACTGGCCAGTTACTAATAAACATAAGGAACTATGCTGTTCAGATTTTTCACTCAGTTAATATTTTCCTTTAAATCCATGTAGCAATATTAGTGCTCAAATGTTAACAGTGCATTTGGCTCTTTGGTGATGTATCTCCTCCAATCAGCTTCCAGCTGTTAACCGCCTACTCCACCGCACTGCACATATTCTGGCAATGTTAACCTCCACCTGAAAAGATGGTGTTGACCACAAAACCATCACTGGCTTCAGTTAAGCTGTAATATAACAATAACGGCCGTAGTGAACAGCATCAGTCTTTATACACACCCTTGTGGAACAGCTAAAAGCTGGAAAAGCTTTTGACTGGAAAGCTGGAATTCTGGAATGAAAGTAGACGACTTCAATCCAAAGATAATGCTGACTGGCGTCTGACCCCTGACCCTGGATACACTGTCAGTGACTCGTGGAAATGAAGCAGTAGCAACCATGCTACAAAGAAAATAGTCCTAATTTAATAAATCTGTCACAACTATTCTTTTTTTTTTCCTCCCCAAAACATTCAGTTTGCCTTACTCCAAAATATACGGTTAAGGTAGGTCTACCACCTACGATGGCTCAGACCTTGTTAGATTACCAGGATAATTAATACATCAGTGTTGTCCATCTAAAGATTTTTGTTGGAGATTTAGTTCAATTTTATTTATACAGCATCAAACAACACTGTAAGGTAGACCCTACAATAATAATGTCGGATTATTCACACATATATCAGTTATTACTGCTAGAAATGGCCTTTTGCTGACCACATATTGGAAACTGAAATACAGAAAACAAATGCAACTAAAAATTCAACTCAAAGTGCAAAATGTACACCCCCACCCCCTGATCAGAGGTCACAGAGGTCGCAGACTGCACTTAGATGCTGTGTTAATGCTTTGGGAAGTCTGAATATGCTGCTTAAATCTCTGTGTTATGAATTCTGAGATGTGTTGAATGCACTCTGTGAGAACAGTATGAAGGGTCAGCATGTTTCTGTGTTGCTGTGATACTGTATTATAACCTGGATTACACTGTACTGTGCACTCAGTGATCAGCCTGTAATTTCAAGGATTTGAGTCCACATCCACACCTGGCTGCAGTTTTACTTTAAGTTTTGTTGTTTTTGCATTTAATTTTGTTTAGTTTTGGAAATAAATAGAATTTAGATTTCAGATGTACTTCTCAGCTGGTGCAAAGGTCCGATCTTCAGTGTGGAGTCACAGATGTTTCCCTCATACGTGTTATTTATGTGTATTAGTTTGTTTGCATCCACATTCACTCATTTATTATTGCCAAATAAAGGTGTGGTGATCTTAAATAAAGCATAACTCCTGAGTGGTGCTCAGCGTTTCTTTATTCTCCATCAACCACATTCACCTACACAACTAGAAACACCAAGTAAACGAAGTGAACTGCTGCATTGTATATTTAGCTGTACTTGGTCTTAATTTTGTTTTAGTTCTAAACACTTTCAGGAGAAATGTACTTCAAAATAACACAACAAGCATAGAAGAGCTAACCTGGAGTCTGGATCTGCAGATTTCCACTGTGTGTTCACAGGGTGGGACTCACCCACTCGGATTAGGATGAAGCACATTTATTATGGGATATCACCATGGACACACACTTTTACAGCAGACATGGTCGTGACAATTTCTAATCTCGTTTTGTTTAGGCTTCTCCATATAATGACAATATATAAAAATAATAACATGATTCTGAAAACGTCCATGCTGAAAACTGGCATGACCCCAACAAGCTTCAGTGTCCCTGAGAGACAAGTACAATAAAAAAGTAATCAGTAACTAATTACCAATTACTTCCCCAAAAAAGTAATCCCGTTACTTTACTGATTACTTATTTTCAAAAGTAATTAATTACTTAGTTACTTTTTTAAAACACGATTTACAACCTGAGTAGGTGATAAAGTGATAGATCTTTCAGCCCAATTCTTCTTTTTCTGCATAATCCATCATACAAAATGTGATCAAATGGAAACGTCTCTTTTTAAAACTTGTTTTATTAGTTTTAATCTTTTAACTTTATGCATCAAGCAAACATTTAATTATATGCAACATTCTCTGACTGGAATAAATTAGTTTAACATTTAAACCTATTTTCTGCACATTCCAGCACATAAAATAAAATATTTTTTGTGTTTACACTCAGTCTTTCAAATAGATGCAAGTAAAACACAGCAGAAAATAAATAAAGTCAAAGACTCAGTGGTCCTGTTGCTCTATTTTCACCTGTAAAGCAGGAGTGGGGTAGGCGGAGGTTTACCCTGGTGCAGGTGTGCCGCGGTCAGTGGAAGAATCCGCGAGTTTCTCTGTGAGTTTCCCATTACGTCGTAGCTACTCGGTGCTTGTTGGAAGTTTAGGGGTTTTTTGCTGTAAAAAGAAGTTTTCTTCCCACGCACAGCGGACGCTAATGTTTTTGTCACTTTTTATGGAATCAAACTCAAAGTAAGGTCAGTACTTCCACGCTTTAAACACTGCACGCTCATACTCTCTCTGACAATCGATATGTGATCCATTGTTGATCTGCACACAGCTGTTGTCACAAGTCGCACTCGCTTACGTCACTGTCATGAGACATTCTCGCAAAAAAATCACGGTTTTAGTAACGCAGTAACGCAGCGTTCCTAGGGAAAAGTAACGGTAATCTAATTACCGATTTTGCAATAGTAATCCCTTACTTTCCTCGTTACCTGAAAAAAGTAATCAGATTACAGCTGTGTTTCCCTCCAGTTTCCCTCTTTACTGTATTCAAGCCCTGTGTTTTCCTCTGCCCTTTGTCACGTCGTACCTCCTCATGTGCTGTAAGTCGCTCCGTGTTTCTGGTTTCAGTTTTTCTACGCTTCTAGTTTCGCAGTGTTTTGTTCTTAGTTTTATACTCTAGGTGTTTGCTGTGTTTTCTGTAAGTTATATCATGAAGGATTTTTCCAGCAAATAAAGCTGCCGATTCAAAGTTTGTTTTTCCGTGCACGAATGTCTGCATTTGGGTCCACGTCCTGCCTGCCACAGCACAAACAGTTTCATTGTGTTTGCTGATAAATATAATGGTGGCTGTGTGCCAAAGCCAGTGATACGGGCACCTGCATTAATGACGTTAAACTCGTGGATAGTTCTTTAATGACACGAGCGACTAACAGACTCTGTGGGGACGTCTGAGCTGACTCGTGTCACACAGGATTAATGTCGCACACGCATTAAATGGTCAGAGCAGCGTACACGGGATGAGCTGGTTTATTAGCATCATTGTTCTAGGGCTTTCTACATGCTCGTCATCTCACACACTGCACCCAAATGTTTAAAGGCACTATCAGAATGGACACCGTATCAGAACGAAAGGGTTTACAAATGCTGATGACAGTAAAATTATGATTTTACTGTCAGGTATTTACAAACCAGATGTTTAAGCTTCCACTGTCAGGAAATGATGAATATTGTTTCTCATATGCAAATGTTCCAGTTGGAGAAAGCACAACTGAAACATTGGCACCTGAGCTGTGAATGCTAATGCAGTCATGCTGCTGTTGTGCAGCTCAGTCCATCCAGTTATAACAAATATCACACTTGTCCATCCGGTTGTTGTTCAGTATTTATCAGCTGATATTGTTTTGGTATTATTAAACCCACGTGGGCCAGCCCAGAACAGAATATGCTGCATAGCACAGGAAAGTAATGCAAACATTCACCGACACATTCAACACAGTGTGAAGTCATTCTGAAGTAGGTCACTCCAATCCGTTATTACCAGTAGAGGGAGCCACAGTGCGCTCCACTGGTCAAACCTAATATTGTGTCTGTTGCTATGGGAACATGTGCTTGGTCTGTAATATTGTTTAATTTGGACCTGAGGACTATAAGAAGATCATTAATGTTATTACCTCCATGTGTGTCTGTGTGTGTCTGTGTGTGTCTGTGTGTGTCTATGTAAACCATTGTTTTGAATTAATTCTGATAAAGGATTTTAGATTGGGGTCATGGTAACTACCCATTAAATGTTAGCTTACATCCATTACGGTCTTCAATATCAGCTTCATGATTTATTGGTTGAAAACGGACAAAAAGCCTTTTAAATTCAAAGTTCTGACTCTTAAAATTGTGCTGTGCATTGTCAACATATGGAAAATATCATATCAAGATCATGTGATCTCTCCTCAACAGATCAAGAGCTGCGTCTTGGAAATGCGTAATTTTGGTTAATTTATTACTGTCGTAGGCTTTTGGGAACAAACAAAACAAAAACATGCATGAAGCTACAAAGTTCTTCAGGCTAACATGCTGTCCAAACCTAATCCTAACGATCAGAGCTGGGCTTATTTGAGTGCTTTGAAGCAGTAAAAGTGAAGCATCTTACAGTCCAGTCATCATCATGCTGGTGTTGCTCTGCTGTTCGTTGTCACAACCAGCAGCTCTGCAGTGTAACAATGAAATGAGTAAATGTTAAACAGTACAGTTTTGAGTTGTTATTCTGAGAGGTTAAAGCTAGCTGCCTGGGCTTTGAATACTGGGAGCTAGGAGCAGACATGCTAAAGCACTGCTAGCACATGTGCAGTAAGAACACGTGTGTCACTTGGATTTAATCCTGTTCAAAGTGATTTATTTTGGTTTGTCTTTTTTCTCCATGCATTCCAACTTCAGATGACAGATTTGTGGGTTAATCTTTTCAAGTCATCTTACATTTTACATTAATCTGTAGCATATATATCCTGGGGCAACATACTGAACTCCCAGTTGCTCTCTGATGCATTCATTCATTCATTCATTCATTCATTGTCAGTACTTGTTAGCATGGAAAACAGTGCTTGTGTGATTGTGTGTGATTTGGTGAAGTAGAAGCAGAAAAGCGCTATATAAAAACAGTCCACTTACAGCGACACACAGCAGTATGGGATACGTGGGGAACACGTTATAAAGACTGACCAAATTAAACAGGGCTCTTTAGTTACAGTGTCACATGTTTATTAGCTGGAGATGATTTCACATCTTCCCTTTCACAAAAGCAGTCGTCACTAAGCGCTCGAGGAGAATCGGTCATTTTAGGCAGCACCACGTAAAAAAGAAGGCTTTCAGTTAGCAGACACTACAGCACGGTTGTTTTTTCCGGATCTTTCTGACGCCTGGTCCCACCGCGCTCTCTCTGTGTCCGTCTCCAAGTCCCTGCACGTGTGCAGCAGCTCCATTGCTTGCGCTTGGCTTTGGAATGTGCCCGTGGCTCTTCTTCTCCTTCATGTTGCTGTCATCATAGTCTTCATCGTCCTCAACAATGACCAGTTCAGCCTTGAGGGAACCTTCAAACTCCCGAACCTGCCGGCTCTCGTCCAACGCTGACTGAAAACCCATGAATATGGCTGTGATTGGCTCAGCAGTGTCCAAGACGCTAAGGACTGTGCAAGGAGGGTCATCTCCAGTAAGGGGTGCTCTGTGTCTGTTCCCAGTTTGTCTGTTTGACTGGTACAATGATGGGCGGTAATGTTCTTCCTCACTGATATAATCAATAGCAGGAATATAACAGGGAGTGTAGCTGAAGCGTGTGTGTGTTAGTATTTCCTGGTCATGTGTTCTAAGAGGTACGCAGCACCTGGATGGTTCAGTGATCCTGCTGCTGCTTCTGGTCATGCCACTGGGCTGGCGGCTTGCAGACCCGCCTTCCTGAAGACGGTGACAATTTGTCACTGGATATGAACTACAGTGACAATCTCGCTGGTTGCCATAGTGATCCAGGCGCGTCACACAACTTTCCGTCAGATTGCTTTGCTGGCTCCTGCCTTCATTTTTGATAAGACAGCTGTCCTGGTTACAGTAGTGATGCTCACTGTGTGGGTTTCTTTGGCTGTTTTCGTTGGAGCTAGAGTCTTTGTCTGCTTTGTGTCTTTGCAGGACATCATAGTGTCCTGGCTGCTTCCTGAGGTCATGCTCCTCCACCCTGTTCCAGTTTTGGTGCTTTGCTTGACCATGCATTGTAGCATTTCTCAGTAAATGTTCCACCTCATTGGCCGATAGCTCAGAAACACCATTCTGGCCACGTGATGCCTAGAAGTACAAAAAAACCAGGACTCAGAAACTGAAAGAAATTCAAACACAACAGAAGCTAACATGACGCATTCTGTTTATGTCACTTCACGAGCTACTTGAAAAGGAACATGTACAGCTAAAATGCTTGTTCTTTGTCAGCAGAATTGCTAACAGAAATCTATATTAGCTTGAGATGTTCATGCCAGTGTTTCCCACACACAGGCTTTATTCGTGTGGGTGACTGTTTTGCAGCTAAGTGAGGCCACAGTTCAGGACTGTGGATTTGGAGTTGCTACTATGTGATACAGAACTCAGTTAAGAGACAGTGGATTATTGCTCCTTTATTTATTGTCATAGTTTTTGAGATTTATTAAAATAAAGATTTAAACAAAGGAAAAACCAACTAAGAACCATGCAGATGGTTCCAACAGTAACAGACGACAGTCGGCTGCATCCTTCATTACTGTAGTTTTCTCTCTCTTGAAATAGAGAAACGATATAGTGCATGCCTCCATTTATATTCATCATATACAACAAATCTTTGTTTGCCTTTGGCACCCCAGGTAGATAGCTTTACATTAATCCAGTGTAACATTAGCCCCACCCAGTCCACTGCTCTGTGCCAGTCGCAGCTACTGGGACTTTGGTAAAAATGCTGGTGTCATTATTACCAGTTGTGGAGTATTAGGGTCACTAATCAAAAGTTACAGGGAGCTAATATTCTCATACAAATCTGTTTCAAAGCTAAAATGGAATAAAACAAAGCATGCACCTCCACTGCTTAAAGTGAAGTCAGGGTTTGGCTCAGAATAATAAAAATACCTGCTGAGAGTTGAGTGCACAAACACACTTCTGGACATCATCATGAACCCTGAGAGCGGTGTTTTGGTGAAAGTCTTTCAGAAGAACATCAGGCGTAGAAAGTACTGAGCTCTCCCCAGTCAGAGTATTTTTAGCCACATTGAGCTGCATGTTAAACAGAGCTGGGACACAGAGGGCAGTTAATGCAGTTAAAGTTTATCCTGATTATCATGACATCCGTCCAGGTGCACAGCACAATCCATGTCCTGTACATTAGTTAATGTAAGTCTCCACAGGTCATTCTCAATGGGTGATACAAATGTATAAAAATAAAGCAGAGGAAAAAGTTCGCTTTGAGCTCTGAGATATGGTATATCTGATATAACATATACAGGACAGTATGTGTAGAACCCAGAAACATAGATGTGTGGTCAAAGATGAAAGAATGTGGACTAATGAGGTGAAAAAGTTACATTTATGTGACTTTCTGATGTCCTTTTTAAAGATCTGTGGAAAATGATGAATCACGTTTTTTGTGCAGAAACTAGGATTGAGTCATATAGACATCCTTTACTCAACATTCTGATACCTGTGCAAAGTTCATAGGTAGATCCTCAAAAACTAGAGCGCACTGGATCGCCAAATTAAAGCAGACATGAAACACTACACACATACAAAGGCTGATTTACAACGTAAAAATCCAGCTGTTACTCATAATCTGTGTGTTTGTAAAGAATTTAAAAATGAGGACAGATTTTCCTGTTTGAGTGAATGTAGCCAAACAATGGAGCCAATTATTGTTAAAGAGACAGACAGTATAAGTGGACAGTATGTCCTTGGTTTTACTGCTGCAGCCAGGGGCAGCACAAAAGTGTTTTCCACTGAGTTATTGGTTCTGTCACCAGTTAGCTAACATAAACCAATGTGGGTTTATTAGCCACAACCAACCAGGCGACGTCACATTCTGTGCTGACAGAAGATGGCGTAAGAGTGAATGAATAGTGGCATTGTAAAGCACTTTGGGTGCCTTGAAAAGTGCTATATAAATCCAATCCATTATTAATTATCAGAACACAGCACTATAAATTCAGTTCTACATTTGCAAACTCTTGTGTATTTCAGTGCTATTGTGTATAACAGTTTTAAATGTATGAATGATCTCACGCTGCCGTGGTGTGTTTGGCTCACACTGTTCACTGGCTGGTGAGGAGAAGGATTCAGGGATTGCTGTGGTTATGTGTAATGGTTCTGCAAGAACAAAAACAGAACTGTTAGCTTGGGTTCATCTTTCGTCGCAACACCAGAGATGTTGCAAATGATGTCACATGACTTACCAGGAACAAAGCTGTTGTGGGCTTCCTAGAAGACACGCACAACTCAGTAAGTATAACAGGTACTAGAGGGAGCACAACACTACACCTGTGTATCTGTGAGAATGTGTGTTTGTATATACCTTGATAATGTCCTCCGGACTTTTCTCCACTGCCTTGAGTCTACTGAGGATAAAACTCTCATTAACGCTGATCATAGACTCTTCTCTCTCCAGAGAATCCACCTCCATTTCAATCCTAAGGAGACAGAGGGGTCAGAGCAGGGTAGTAACAGGGCAGGACATCACATGAGAAACAGTAACCTCTGGGCCTGAAAATGTGGCCAATGTGAAAGTGACAAAAACTGCAGTGCCTCTGAAGGCTATTTGAGGCTGGCAACCTCATAGACTCTCTTGTTAAAATACCCAACTTTACAGCATTAAAGAGCATGTTTAATTTTTGATTTGTTTTGTTTTGTTTCAAGTAGAGCTGGGCGATAGAACGATAACGATATGTATTGCGAAATAACTTTTCCTCGATAGAAAAATTAAACTATTGCGATAGACCTCACCGCTCTGGTCCTCTTAGAAAGAAGAACAGCCAATCCAAATTAAGTTGCGCAAAGCCGAACCAATCACAGCCGCAGCGTCACGTGACTTGTTACGTTCAGCACAAGTGCCAAGCTGCACATGTGTATTTGTTTGGGAAGCAGCCAGCCGCCGTGCCGCCCGGATAATGGAGAAAATGAGTGTGCTGACTAGAAAAATCAACCGAGAGCATGACCGAAGGTTACCGAAGAGAAAACAGATGATGGTTCCAACGCCGGAGAGCTTGTCAAACGGAGGAGCCACAGAAGTCCCGTAGTGTGAAGGTATTTCGGCTAATTCAAGTCTGACAAAAAACATTAGCGCGCACTGTAAATTGTGCCGAAAGCAAGTCTGGAAACACAATAAAGCGGTGCATGCTCAATCTCTGACTGGAAGCGCTAATTCGTCATTCGGCTTTTGTCAGACTAAAGTAACTGTTAAAGCTGTTTGAAAAGCTCAGCTATACAACAATGTGTCATGATCCTGGGTCCTTTTGACCCAGCGTTTTGTGTTTTCTCTTCTTGTGATTTTGGTTCTGTTCTTCCTCTGTTTAGTGTTTATTCTGTTCTGCCCGTGTGTTCCTGTATCTAGTCCGCGTTCCTTAGTTGTGTCCTTTCATGTGTAAGTTCCTGTTTTATTGTGAAGGTCTGCGTCTTATGTGAGTGTTTTCATTTGCCTCCCTAGTCTCGTCATGTTAATTACTCCCAGCTGTGTTCCCACCAGTGTGTAACCTCCCTGTGTTCTCTGAGTATATTTAAGTTGTGTCTTCTGTCGTAGTAGTTGCTGGTTCGTCTGTGTTGTTTCCCCTCGGTCTCCCTGCATCTTCGTTTCTGGTTTGTGTTGTTAGTTTACCCAGTTTAGGTGTCCGGTTTCATGTTCACCCACCATTGCTGTTTGTACCCACTCCTGTAAATAAATACTCACCTGCACCAGAGCTGCCGCGTTTTGGGCCCTTCTCCAACTCCACACGGCTTGCCCCGGCAAACCGTGACACAAGGAGAGATTGAGAATTTCCTTTTAGTTCTCAGTTTATTTGATATTGACAAAAGTTAGTAAATTTTGTCTGTTCTTCTGTAAAACAAACTAAGATTTATTTTTAGAATTAATATTTTGTTTCTATCCGTTTACCGCCAAGGCTGGAAACGGATCAATACTGGTACAGCATATGGGGAGAGGACACAACCCATAATAGCAATGCTCAGTGGCTAGTGAATCCAAGAGCAGACCACAACAACCTCCCTGAACAGGGTCCAGTAACAATCACAGTGGCAGACATCCAAGAAAAGGTCCCCAGTATGAAGAGTTGGACAGCACCTGGTTCACGCCTACTGGCTGAAGGAGCTGACTGCACTCCACGAGCATCCAGCAGCACAAATGAACCAGTTGCTAGTTGACGGGAGACACCTGGAATGGCTAACCGGAGGTCGGACGGTCCTGATCCTCAAGGACCCCAAGAAGGGACCGGTCCCCTCCAACTACTGGCCAATAACCTGCCTCAGCACCACATGGAAGCTCCTGTCAGGCATCATA